ACTGAAAGTAGTCTGATGAGGAAATGTGGTGATTTCCGAAATAGCTATCACTTCTACCATTTTTTCAAATTGTTGATGCTTTTCCACAATAAATTTTTCATTTAAAAATGGCCTCGAGCTCATTATAAAATTGTTGAATATAATTGTTAAATGGCCAAAAAATAACAAAAAACATGTAATTGATTTCGTTTCCATAATGGCATCTTTTTATGGTATAATTACAGTAGAAATTCGGAACTACGGAAATTATTATATGTACATACACATACTCGTACTTAGGAACACTACTTCTTATAAGTTAAAACCATATAACTCAAAATTGGCTATATTTCAAAAAAAAACGGTCACCAAAATTTCAAGTTTTTATTCAAAACTTCCAGAAAAAATTCGGGTTCAATTTTGTGCAAGTTTCGTGCGGCTAAGGATTCGCATCGATTTTTGATTATCTCTTTTTTGCTGACGTACATCTTTTCGTATCCGGAAACGAACAGAAAACGAATACAATACTCTTTTTACTTTGTCGTATCCAAAAATGTTCAAATGTTCAGCAACAGTGCGGCTTTCGTACCCGGAAACGCAAAGGAAACTTCTCGAAAGAGATGATGTTATTTGAAAGCAATAATTATATTTTATTTTTTTCAAGCTGAACATTAGAAAGCATAAGCAGAGGCGCATTTCACAACAACTTTCGGTACTTTCCTGTTCACGCGTTTCTGCAGCACACTTTAGTGGAAAAAAACGGATCGTCAAAGTATCCACAAATGGAATCGGTAAAGGGACAAAAATACGCATTTCATCCAATTTTTTCCTATTTCGGTAGCGTTTTCGGGTTTTTTGCTGACTGAGGGTGGTACGGCACAAGTATGCATGTATATATCAGTGGCGGATTATCGAACAAATTTTGGGACCATTGCCCCAGGGCCCCGGACTCAAGGGGGCCAATGAAAAAAAATATTCATATGATAATATGATAGATTTTTATTTATTTGCCCAACAAAATTAAACCACAACTTTTCTGCACTTGAGTGTTACGAACTTATCAATAATTTCATCAAAGTTTAATTCATCCAACAAGTTATTTTCAATGGAAAGAACTGATAGACTGTTCAAACGATCATCTCCCATAGTGTTACGCAAACAATTTTTTATCAATTTCAATTTTGAAAATGATCTTTCATCTGTAACATTAGTGACAAACATGCATAAATAAATGCGTAATAAAATGTCTAAATTCGGGAAAGTTTCACAAAGATGATCATCGAACATTGTTTTGTACATCGATTCATGATTTAAGTTATCAAAAGTAAAGTAATTTTTGGCAAATTGACATTCATCAGTTAGTTGAACTTCATTGAGATCATTTGGATACTTTTCGACTACTTTTTTACATGATACAGCAATGTCTTCGTCGTTCATTGAATTTAAATTTATTAAAAATGAGAAAAAGTCTTCCAAATCATTATAAATATCAGCACGTTTTTTCAAATTTGATAACAGAGCATCGATAACAGGTTCGAATAACGATTTTTTTAAATTTTCTTTCTCATCTTCTGGAACAAGTGCTTGCGCTGTTGAACGAGACTGAATAAAATCTGCTTGAAAATCAGAAGGAATATTGTCGAAAATTGTCAAGGCTTCATCGAAAATTTTGTTGTAATCCTTGTTTTCAAGATCTGTAACTATTGAAGCATATAGTTTTGTGATCGTCGAAAGAGTCAGATTTGGTTTTTGTAAAGCTAAATTTACAAAGTTAAATTTAGTCAAAACACTTTTCCACAAGACAAGCATTAAAATATTTTTAAATTGGCACAATTTGGCTATCAAACCTTTTGCCGATGCTTTGTTATCTTCACTGAGGCTTTTTTCAGAAATGAGAGAATTCAAAACAGTTAACACTTTCAAGTAACATGAGTGCAAAGCTTGAACTGATTGGAATTTAGCCGACCACCTTGTGCCAGTTGCTCTCTTTAACATAAATTCGCCTTTCTCGGACAATTGTTCTTTGAGTCGATTCCAACGAAAAGATGAATAAACAAAAAAAACCATACAATTTTTCGTCATATCAAAAAAATTAGATGCGGTAATGTTTTTAGAAACACTATTTTTACTTGCTGCTTGATATTATAAATTACATATTTGCAATCAGTTTGATTTTCATATTTCACGACTGCTGCTGAATACAACTTGCAAAAGCAAACCTTACTACTTACTTTGACTTGTTGCGCTGACGAAATCAAAATCAAATCAAAATCAAAATTTTTAAAAGGCACTACAAACACTACGACTGCTTTGTTGTTCAGAGCAGTAAGTTTAAGTGATAGCAAATGAAATGAAAGTTATTGCAGTTTTTTAAACACTGACTATAACAATAACCAAAAAATGTCAATATAAAATGACATCAATATTATGGAGTAGTGCGTTTAATGCACAGAGCAAAACAACGTCCAATGATCAAATATGTTACATGAACCGCAATTTAAATTTATAACGATCAAACTGTATTCTAATCGCAAAATATTTATATGGAAAAGGGCCCCCAAAAAAATTTCGCACCAGGGCCCACCAGATTGTTAATCCGCCACTGGTGCATATATACATTGGGGTGTTTCAATTTTAGGCGATATTTTTTTTTCTCTGTGCTACCTGAAAATCTAATACTTTATAGATAAATAAAAAAAATTATGCCGTTAAAAAAAATTCTAAGTGTATTAATTTTTTATTTTCTATAAAGTATTCGATTTTCAGGTAGCACAGAGAGAAAAAAAAATATCACTTAAAAATGAAACATACATATTGCTGACGAACCCATGCAGCCTTATCTTTTTTATTGAAGTTTTAGATTTTACCTCCTTAGTTATCATCATAATCTAAATACAACATAATTACCAAATGAAGAGGACTTTGTGATTAAACCACTGCTTAAAGTTGTATGACTTTTAAAGTGTGCACTTTAGACTGTGTCACAAAAAAAAACAATCAAATTGTTTTATTTGTTTCGGCAAGGAATGGCAAATCTTCGAGTGTATTTCTACCTTTCTACCATGACAAAACTTCTTATAAAACATTCGAACGTTGCAGTATAGTTAGAAGTTCGGCTGCTCCATTCCAAAATACAGTATCCAACATTTGGGATATACTGTGTTTAGATGCACCTTTTAACTAAGCCTATTTGCTGATAGCTGCAAGATTTTCGGAGATACGACACATCTAAAACCTAGCATCTACACAAGTTTTAATCTTTTGCCACCGTAAGACAAATTATGTGTTTTCTCTACATCAATTTTATTTTTAACACATACTGTGTTATGAAATGGAGCAGCCGAGTTATACAGGGTATACAAAATTTAGTAGGAAAACACGATTTTTGTTCCCCAACCTATCGTTTGGATAATTATTGTTTAATTACGCGAATTTATGTTCTTCTTAGACATGTTTGCGTGATAGACCGTCTCCCAGAGTTGCCGGATAGGACTGGTTTCACATACAGTAAAACCCGCTTAAGTAGCTCACGAAAAATTTCAGCTTTTTAAGGTACTTAGACGGATTGGATACTTAAAAGAATCCGCTTAAGTACCTCGATGCGGGTACTTAAGCGAACATAATTATAGGATTTGCTCACACACGCTGTTTTGCATTATCTTGATGCGCGATTTTGTACTTTAAACAACGATATAAACCTAAGCTTAAAACTTTTTAGAACACTAAAAAAAATTCATCAAATTTTCATCAAAATATCAAACTTTTTTCTCAAAAGAGTTTATAGCTCTTTCAATTTTTGTGTAATAGTGTGCAAGTTTCAACTGGTTAAAAATTACAGTTGATTTTTTAGAATTTTTTTTGCCGTACGTGTTGCGGGAGCACTTAAAAGGAGAAAATTATAAGTAAAATGGTAAATGGGGTACGAAAAATTTAGGTACTTAGGCGGGTTGGGTAAATAAGCGAGGCGGTACTTAAGAGAGGATTTTCTTCTGATTGCATCAAAATATTCACGGTGCGCAAAAATGTTGGTTACTTAAGCGGGTTAGGTACTTAAGCGTGGGGGGTACTTAAGCGGGTTTCACTGTATTTGCGAATTCGTTTAAAGTTTACTAGAAGTGCAAATTGCAATTTGCGTCATCGCTATATATGGGTTAATTATATTATCTTTAAAATCAAATTTAATCTGAGACAGATATGTATGCAATTATTATGAAATTTTAGCAAATATAGCTAGGTACCCACATAAAAAAGTGATATCTGGAGTTGATTAGATATGGTATTGGTATGCCATGTCACTGTAAAGCGAACAAAAATTTAGAGCAAAAATGTAGAAACTAATAGCATTAGTTTAATGATGTACAAACACATGTTCATGTGTATATGTATGTATATATGTACATTAGGGTGCTCCAAAAAATGCATGTGAAAAGGTAAAGTCGGAATTTAAATTCCGCCAGCCCCTAGGTTTGTTCTATACCCAGAAAAATATACCCACATTTTTATTTTGAGATAAGCAAATTAGGGAGTGCTCAAAGCGCTCAAAGTTTTCCATGTATTTTATAT